AGGTTGATGGCAAGAAAGTTCCAAGAGATGCTGCCCATCCTCATTTCCCATTCAGTATATCATATTAATATCGCCCTTTTTTGTGCTTATTGCCCACAAATATTTACATACTGACAATTTCTAATGTGGCTTTTTTTCCCTTTTGTTTCCCTTTTTTTCTCCTCTTTGTTTGTGTTTTGATATATCTTTCTGCACGTTAGTGAGGTGAAAATTGGTTTAAAGAATTTTTGTCAGGTGTTTCAAAAGCATTTAAGAGTCAAAATCTGGTGTTCAAAGCTCAACATGCAGGGTAGCTTAGGAAAGATACGAAAAAATTAAACATGGTTTTGTGAAAATAGTTAGAATTTTAAAATTCAACCAAGAAATTTTCAAATGAAGTATTTTCTCATATAGTTTTATGAGTAATAAAGAAAATATGGAATTTCAGCCTGTCTCTTAACAGTAAACGCAATCTACAAATAGACTAAAAGTATTGATTAAAGTCTGGTGGGGAAAGGTAGGAGATGTATTGCACTCTTGCAACAACTGTTTTGGCTCCATTTTCTAAATTTTCTGAATTTCGTCTCCCTCTCTCCCTCCCTTGACAGGGTCTCTCATTTCCGACCCTCCCCACTCCACCTAATAGAGGTTTGTAGAAGAGAGACCCTGGGAACGAAGTGAATAGAGGAGTGTCAATCCTAATGTTCTCCATCTCCAACAGCTTCTGGATCAAAGTCTTGAATGATGAATCGAAAAGTGTACTCGGGCCAACAAACAAAATACTCAGCTTTGGCAATGTAATATTTTCCATTTTCAGAAAAGTACAGAGTTACAGGGTATACAGAGCTCTCGTCGAGGGCGTCCTGACCGCCCGAAAACTCTTCGTCAGTTTTGTCTTGCATGCCTGTTTTATTTGTCATATAACCATGTGACATTGCAAATTCGATAACCCTGATATTCTCTAAATCAGAGCTCACCATACTGCTGTTAAAATATAGAACTATGTACCCACCGGTAGAGAAACTGTAATCAGTTACCTGGCGATACGATTTGCGAGGTTCAACGATTTGCTCAAACTGAAATTGGTTCCCTTGATTCCCGCCGACTTCACCCGAAACAATCTTCATTGGAACGTCAACGTCATTGAAAAACTGAATGGAAACGTATCCGTCAAAGAACAGGTAAGGAGAACTAATGCATTTCTCTACTGACCTCAAAGTCACTGCTTGTTGACTCACTTTCTTCGCAGAAGACTCAACTGTTGTTAAATTCGGCATTGGCGACAAACCCAAGCTGTGTCGAACAGTTTCTACCAGGATTTTATCACGAATTCTTCGGCTTAAAGCCACAATTTTGGTGAGTTTTCCGCCGTCAATTTTTCCAAGAAATGTCAAATATCTCTCTTCTGACAGAAAAGAGAGTTTCTCTTCAGCTTCCTTCGTTTGGTAATTCATTTTCCTGTGCACAGCGTACACGTCTTCTTGCGCCATTCCTACTTTTGTATATACTGCTACGACAGCAAACAGATGAGTCATGAAGCTGGAGAAAGCTTCAGAGTACGTAACTATGGCTGTTACGAAATCTTTCACATCGGGATCCTTTGTCAGTTTTTTTTCATACTTGAAAGGAAGCGGTGACTCAAACCTGATCGCAAGCTCACCCAAAAATTGCACGTAATCATTCCACAGAGATGGATCATCTAATTTCTCTCCTTCTTTCATTTGCTGCACCTGAATAATTTGTTCTGACATACGAAGTTTAAGCCCGTTATATTTCTGATCATGTAACCTTTCGTTTAAGTGAATCATATCGTCGTGAACTTCTGTTAGTCGGTGTATCACACTTGGCTTATTTGGTTCACTTTCCGTTATCAACACGCAAACAGCTTCCAAAACATACAAAAGACCAGAGGCGTAAGGGCTAGCATCGACAAGTTTTGCAACGCTTGTGGCAAGTTTAATCATACCCTTTAAAAATTCCAGAGGTTTTTTACTTTCAAAATTTTCAATGCTTTCTTTAGAGGTTATAATAATTTTTTTTACTCCTTTAAAAGTTTCTTCATCCCATTTGCCTTTACCACTGTCTTTGTCTTTGTCTTTTTGTTCTTCCACCGAGTCCTTCACGTCCTTAAGTTTTTTCCGGAACTCGGGAAAACCAGCTGACTTTGAGAGCAGATCGCCTAGCGCTTTCATTATCTCAGAAATGATTTGAAAAACTTTGCTGTTAGATTCTATCGTTTGTGTCTACAACAAAAAAAAGACCAAAAATCAAATATTTACCTTGCTGACTATTTATCAGTAAAAGTTTCGAAAGAAGAAAATCATCCCTTCCCCCCGCCTTACCGGCTTCCGCTAAACGCGGAAGTCAGATGTCGAATTTTTAATTAGACTTCTGATTGGTCCATTTATCTCGGTTATCAGCTCATATACATATCAGTTTCTAAGGCCTGACTTATTTGCATTCACACAGTTACCAGTGTTCTGTTTACTATATAACTGTTTTAATAGTGTCAATCAGTTCCTATAAACACCTCAAAAAAGTTTTGTCAGTATCGTTTTTAATCACAACATTTGTTCCGCTGTATGCTCAGACTACACTTATTTAAATGAGGCTCTCAGTAGATCTCTCAACCGTTAGCCGTAAACCGGCCAAAATATTTAACCTTTAGGCGTAACAATTGACAAATTTTAACTGTTAGTCATAGAAAAGGTTAACTGTAAAAATAAAAACAATTGAAAACAGTTAAAAGAAGTAAACCTTAACTGAGCGTTATTTGGCTACAATTTTAACCGTTAGCCGAAAAAGTCGTCACTCATAACAGTTAGAAACCTAATATTGGTAGAAATGTAGAGTCTTAACTAAATAGTAATGACTAATAATTCGTTTCTTACCTTTTTAGGTACCAATTCTTCAATCTTGTTAGGCTTCTTTGGGCATGTTTCGCTGGGATGGCCGCCAAGGACATTGCAGGCAACCACATATAGCACAATTTGCAGAAAAATTATTTTGGCCATTGCTTGAACTTCTGCAATATATAAAGGCTGTGCTCCAGGAAAATTTTCAGGGCGCCCTTCGGGCGCCTAACCACGACAAGTATGTCGCCCAGGTCGCCAAATATGGTGCTGATAAACATCTTGCATGCCACGGACGAAGCTAATTAAATAAACACAAATTTGCATAAAGGACGGTTTCGTTTTATTAATCACGCGCTCCACTATTGAAACTGTTGAAACACAAAAATTAGATATAATCATCAACCACTTCAATAGAAAAATTAGACATTCAATACATCCTTGTGCAAAAATTGTGCAGTTTCTCACGGGCAAGGAAAAAATAATTTTTCGTGCTAAATCATGTGAAACAATATTACATAACACACGCGACAACTTTGAGCGTGAACAATTCTTCTTGTTGTCCTGCCGAATATTTTTTAGTTCTGCAAATATCATCAAATTAGCAAGTAAAATTATAAAATGTTAGTTACAATCAGTTGCTCGCTTTATCGCGTCGTTCAATGGACAAGAAACCTAGGCCATGTACTATATTAATAAACCGGAAGAGAAACCACCGAAGCGAAACAAGACCCTGGACCTAACTTAATATTTAACCTAAATGTACAGATCACACGGGCTATTGATTGCACTGCGCTTTCAGCGCTTTTGCTTTTCGGGCTAACGGGAGCCGGTGAGCACGATGGAGTTTCTTTTTGTTTCGTTCCGTTCTGTTTCTATACGTTTGCTGGTTTCGTTTCGGGTTTTCACACAAGCCGAAATCTATGCGCTCGGACGGGCGACCGCTTTTCTTTTTCAGTCGCCCGAGACCAAATGTTAGTCGCCTGAGGCGACCGGGCGCCGCTAGAGCACAGCTTTGTATATAGGATTGGGCGAAATTAACAAAATGAGCTCAATTCAAGTTTTCATTTGAGGGTGTATCCATGAAGCAATGTATGTCACGCTGGCCTAAGTGAGGTCACGCGAAGTTCCGGGAAAAACCGAAAGTTGTTTACAAGGGCTGGATCAATTTCCATAACCTTGCTACTATTTTCTTCAATTTTTCAACCGCAAAAATGTACGAATTTTAGGACTACTGGATTTTCAGTTTGTACATTTATAATTGGGGTTTGTGGCGACCATAATATTGCAAACAAATTTCACTTATTTGGATAAACAAGTATATTAGAATTAGATCTTAGGGACCCGCTACTACAGATTTTATCAACTAGTAGTAGTAATTGATTATGAAGTGGGTTCGTGGTGTAGATTTAAGGTTTTCCTTGGTTTTAGTACCAACGCAAGCTTTATACGAAACAGGGAACGAATGGTTCGGTACCCATTAGGCGGTTTGATGTAAACAAGTTTAAACCAGAGGGAAACGGCTGCAGAGTAGTTAAAGGCTAGGTGGAAAATATTGCACAGTAAAGAGGCAGATGATGTTAGGAGCTGAACAAGACTTAATTGCCCAAAAAAACCACCACTCAACTTGTCGCCTGTGACTTCGCTGTGAGATGGCGACCAAGGAAAGATCGGTATGAAATGCTTTAGTGTTCCCGAGAGAACACAACTCGTTTGAAATAAGTTTCCTAATGTTCTAGAAGTAACGCAAACTTTCCTCAGGCTTGGATAATGGATAAAAGTTAGCTAGAAAAGTCTGAAAAAACAGTTAAGCTTACCTCAAACGCGAGAAAGTACCGTCTTCAATCTTTCTTCAGTTAAACCGCCTTCAATCTTCTTCCAGTTAAACTACTTGTCTCAGGGGGCGCGATTGCCGTTAGCGCATCGGAATGTGACGTGGACAAAACGAGATAAATTATTCATGATGGCGCAGAAAATGCAGACGTACGACGTAAATCAACCTGTAGTGCAGGCGTCTTATATGTGCGAGCTAACGTTATATGCTCGTGATCTTTTATCCGACTGGCCATGTTTGAGCTGTAATTAAAGTGGACGGTGGGGGTAGGGAGCGGGGAAGGGGAGACGCCTCACTTCCCCACCCCATCCTCTCTCCTTATTTTTTGCCGTCGACCGCCCCCTGATATAAATTTCTTTCTCTCCCTAGCCTTCCTCTGCCAATAAAATCAGAAATGGCGGCCATAATTTCGTTAAGAAATTATTGAGCACTCGCTCGCCAAATTTACGCCTGGTCTGCAGACTAGACGAAAATGGGTACCACAAATGGTCACCCTTGAGTACTACAGGAATCTCAAGACTATGGGCTGCCTTCTAACGTCGAACGCAATAATTTTTGCAAAGCGACTTACTGCACGTTACTTGTTTTCCTCAGAAATAACGTTGCAAAATTTTTCGCCTTTCGTGTAGTGCTAAGCTCCACGAAAAAGAACGGTATTTTCGTGGTTAGAGCTTTAACTGATTTAGTTAAACTTAATATTCTACTCTCCCAGGTCGCTTGTAAATTATTGATAGCTTCCCGGAACATTTCAACTATCCAGACAATGTGTTCACCTTAAACAAGAGCTCTCTTGAGTCGCTTTATAATGTTCTCTTTACGTGTTAGTAGAATTTCACTGAATTACTTTTGTCAATTTTCCCTCGTAAACTAGTTGCAAGAGTTAACAACTGCATCGCTAACTGGAGGTAATGGGTGCCTGAAACATCCAGGAGCTTCCACTATTGGCAGCCAGCTCCTAGATGGAAACTTCTGCCATGGCTGGCAAATCCTGGTAACCCAGCCATGAGCCCCATAACAGGAAAGGGGAACAGGCACCCCTCACACTGAAAAAACAGTGGAAAGAGGGAGGAAATGGGTGGGGAAAAACTGCCTGGATGATTAGAGCTGCCACTCCTCACATGTACATGTTCAAAGTACACGCAAGAACACCTCAAAGGAAGGGCATATGGAATTCTGGCACAAACGCATATGCAAGAAACCAAACAAAAATGCTAATGCTCTATGTTGTCAACTCCATTAAACTGCATTTAACAGCATTTTGGTGTTAGATCAAGATAACTTCCACTTGATAAGTTTGAGTTTTCTCATTACCTGTTTGCTGGGTAATGTATGATATTATAATGAGAAGTTACATGTTAATCACTTTTGTGGGTTAAGGGTTAACAAATGCACAGCTATACATAGTTCAAGTCTTAAACCTTTAT